AGCGGCGCTTCCTTACAAATATATCTTTGATTTTCGTTTAGTTTTCTAATTTTTCTATTATAAACATTTTTTTTAGTTTTCTGCAATAACACTCGCTTACACACAGACACACACATACACACCCAGAGAGACACACACAGACACACTCACACACACAGACAGACACACACACACACATACACAGCAGACACACACACACATACTCACACCCACACAAACACATACACTCTCACAGACACACACACATACTCTCTCACACACACACTCACACACACATACACTCACACACACATACACTCACACACACACACACACATACATACACACACTCACACACATACACTCACACACACACACACACTCATACACATACACTCACACACACACACACACACACACACACACACACACACACGTATACACAGACACTCGCAACAGCTCCAAAGACGTGCTCTACATCTAACGTCGTCATTCTGTCAAGCCGCATCAGCGACCGATCATCTTCGGGCATAAACAGTCTTCGGCAATTTTTCGTTGGTCTATCTTCTTTGTCATTGGTGATTATAATCTAATTACTATCGCCCGAATTGATTCGATGCTGCATCGGAGAAACTAACAGCGTTTTATAGCTACAACTATACGTTAGCGATAATCTTTCGGTTAGGGTAACACTTGAGAAGTATAAGCGCTGTTCTATAGCGTAATAACGTAACTTCATTATTCCAATGAACTTCTTCATAATGGAAACTGTGTGTGACTTGGATATAGCATTATCGTATGCGTTCTTTTTCTTGCTAATCTCTAGGCCGATAACCACAGTTACGGCCAGGTCCACCTCAACGTTGATGGAAACGATATCTAAATCGTATTCACTTAAGTTAATTAAGCAAAAGGGGAATTTTGCTTCGTGTCGGAACTTCGGAAAACTTCAATTGTTTGCTGATTGCGATGTTATCTTGCTCTGGCTGAATGGATTGTTTAGCAGGGTCTGCGGTACTCGAAGCATCACTTTATTGTCGGTCGCCTGTGGGATGCATTTCTGGCTAAAGATCAACCCATCTAAGCTATTCTGTAATTTCAGCAATAACGTGTGATCGTGTCATTGATTATTATGTTTTGCTATTTGTTGGATGGGATTGGAACAGCCGGTAAGTGATCGGTTGATCTACAGAAAAATCTCTCTGTGAACCCCGATCTTACAGAACCTGTTCCATCTGTCTAAAGGCACTTGCAGGTGTTGCTCCGTAATGTTTTCTATATATTTATATATATATATATATTTCGTCTCTTCTCTCTCCCTCTCTCTCTCTCTCTCTCTCTCTCTCTCTCTCTCTCTCTCTCTCTCTCTCTCTTTTTTATATGTATTTTCATATTCGTTTAAAAGTATACTTCCTTCTGTGCTTAATGGTTTTACATCAGGGTATGGTTATCATCAGTATCAATCAAAGAAGCGACTATCGTCGAGCAAAAATCAACGCTTTGGTAAAGATGTGTAACAAAAGTCAATTCACACAACGCTATACCTTATGGTCAATGGTCACTCGGCGTACGTCAGTGATCTCTAATGAATGTATGCCCTCTTTTCACGCTTTCATTTCTTCAATGATTTCAATTGAGATATATATAAGCGTACGTCTGATATTTGTTTATAATTAATTTGCCTTAGGATGGCGTCGAATATACACGAAGAAAACATGCATCCATTAACCAACCTAGTGAAGATTTTTTTGAATAATAAAAAATTATATACTCTATTTAGATTCGTCAATGGACAGGTAGACTATATGTCACGATTGGCTTTCTCGTACACAAATCTCCCAATTCCATAACACGTACAGATACATACATTGTTAGTTATCTTCTTATATATAATAGATAACCTATTGAAGATAAGGTCGATGCCGCTTTCCACGCGGTTCGTTTATGAGAATCTATGCCTTATCTATGATCGTTCACAATGTTTGCCTATTCACGGATTTGTTGATGATGTTTGTCCCTGATGATGAGCCTATGCTTGGCCTATATATATAAGGCTAAATAAGGTGTCGAATTATATCTGTCTGCTGTGCCATTGATTGTGTGCTTGTAGTGTAGGCTCAATTATGTGTAACGTTCATGGCAGCGAATAAACAACTATACGACAGATCGGCATGATATGCACAACAAACAGGTTACTGATATTATTAATAAAAACTACAAAATGTTATTTTGTTTACCTTTCATCACGTCGCTTATCATAAAACTACGTAGCATACGTTTTATTGCTTAATTATTGTTATCGTCATGTTTATTGTTATTATAATTATTATGGAATGAAGCAAGAAACGAGGGGGAAATCGCAAGCATTTATTGTATCTTTTTTTTTTTGTTAATACTTATTACATGGTATAGTTGGCTATAATTAATGAATCAATTAGTAATTGCTGCGGCTGTTGCTTCTATTGGAAATGAGGTGAAGTATGGAGATCCCTCTAACAGATTTGTTGTATTCTCGATTTCGAGTCATCATATTCTTCGTAGGGATACCATTTGCACATGTCATCGAGGCTCATTACATTCCGTATATGGGTTAGGTCTTTAACCGTAAACTAAGCTTAGCGGGAGTGAAGAAAACAACAAAAAAAAAAAATAGGTGCATAGCAGAGCTGCGGAATGTGGCGGTAGCAAGGGACTGGTTACATCTGAGAAGCTCGCTTTGTTTTTCGATATCTCGAAAAAAAAAAACAAAAAAAGTAGTTCTGTCCTTAGGTAAGGCCAGTCTGCTATGTGCGGTAAGGGAGAACAGTGGTAGGAGGCTAATTTCTCGGAACTACTCGAGCCAATAGACGATGCGGACGCCGACGAAAATCAGAGCATGTGTCGATGCCCCGCACGAGTTTTTCCAAATCATCAAATCGTACGCGAGACACGAACGGCTAAACACGAAAGGCCTGACCGCGTCGAAACAGATGTAATTTATATACTGTTGTTTATGATTCGGCAGAGGTGCGGGGAAGGCGAGGCGAAAAATAAATTGTATCGTTTGTTTAACGAAAATTAGGGCAACACGGCGAACCGAGCAGAATGATATGCCGAAGCGAAGCACGAAAATTGCGAAAAAGGTCCGCGAAGTTCTGAAGCGTTTTTGATGGAAAAGCCACGAAATGCGCCAAATTATCGACCAAACCAGTTTCGCTCTCGCTTGATAATCTCACCTGACCAGAAGATCGTTGTTTTCAAAGATCGACAACGAATAGCTCAAGACGATCATCACACTGATAGACCATGGTAGTGCGCATTGCATGGCTCTCCCGCATTATGTGCCTCGATATTGAGGACGACGATGATAATTATCATTATTATTATTTTTACTAGTATAACTGCCGCTACCCAATAGCTTCGAAGGGGCAACGATATTGTCTTAAACGACACCTACGTTTCACACGTAAAAGCCGCTCTTTCCATTGAGAGGAAGGAGGCCAGCTAAAACACAGAAGTCGTACAAAACGTTAAATTCGTCCAAAACTAACTCGAAGAAGAACTAAAGCAATCCAACAAGGAACATTAAAACTTAAACTTATCGCTTTCGCATACACACACAGCCATCCACATAGGCCAATTTTGAGAAAACAAATAAGTAGATAATGATGTATGCTGTCGTGGCCGTTATTGTGAGGAGGCAAAAAACGAAACAAGAACATATATACGTTTATATAGAATATATATGTATATCTATATGAAAACGGTGACATGAACGCAAAGCAACACAAACCACGCCGGCTATGGCGTCATCCAACGCGCTAAGATAGCCCATCCCGACGAAGCAAATGCGGAAACCAAAGGGGGGAGTGTTCGAGTTGGTCAAAGCTAATGGTGGCAGCTCTTATAGGGTGGACTCGTATAGATTTCAGACAGATGCAGATCGACCCGATGATGTGGACAGATCAATCCGTTAGCGCTATTATCTCGTCAACATTACCTGGATGGCCTATTTGGACATGTCTGATTGAGAACTTAAGGAGCAATACAAATAGGCCGATAACGAGTTAGGCTAACTTGTGTTACCCTACATACAAACTAATACGTAAACAGATTGCTGGGAGCATTTGTTAGATTTCAGGCTTTTTGTCATAAATAAAATTGAATTTGTCCACTAGGTGCCGATACTCAGACTGCTGACTACCACCAGCTTTTCCGTATCGCGTTCACTACGTCCGATTCCTAGAGTTGATGACCTCACTTCACGCAAAATGCGTCTCCACCTGCGATTTTTACAATTTTCAGAAGACCACAATGCTCTACGCGCTTATTTATTATCTCTGATTTGCATCTATTATGAATTAATTGAACCATTTGCTAAACTCCAATCATGACCGTATAAAGCTTAGACTATATGAACTCCCGAGGAACAGACCAATACGTATCTTCGCATTCGTTTGGTATAAAACGATTGAGCAGGCCTATTAACCAGCACAATCTGTGGCGGCACTATGACCAGGCCGAATGCCAGTGTGGCCGACGACGAATTAAAGCATCGGATTGCTTGAATCAGCTAGTGAAGTCTTTTCTGCTCATAGCTGTTGACAGGTCGAGATTTAAACAGCGGGTCAGAATTCAGCTCTGGATATCTTCCGTAGCGCACACTCGCTTGGATTCGAGGCCCTCTTGGTTTCGAGTATTGCTTCGCGAAGCGAAACGTGCCCTCAGCGCGTAGCCGTCAACGGCAAAATATTTTGGAGACCCGGCGTCTGACGGTATTTTTTGTTTTTTCAGTTTTTTTTTCTCTACCATTTGTTAAATTACTACAACTAGTAAATCATCTATCTAGCAGTTACATCGATATTATTTTGCAGAACATGTACGTTCTGTAAGTATTATTCGATTCTACAGATACAAGTGACACACAACCACACATATTGACCCCCCCTCACCATCTCTCCCCTCTCCCTCCCACCCACCCACCCACCCCTCTCTCTCTCTCTCTCTCTCTCTCTCTCTCTCTATATATATATATATATATATATATATATATATATATAAAAAAACCGAAAAAATTTACACATTGACTCTCTGTTCTGCTCACTCACGATGGACCACTCACCGACGTTGAACTGACATAGATATAGATAATTATTAAGTTGTCATTCTACATTACTTTCGCTAATTTTATCTACTTATAATAATACACTAGTTAATGACTGTTGCACCAAGATCATTCCTTTCGAATTGAGTTCAACAAAAAAAAATGGGTAAAAAATTATAGCCAATTAATTGTTGTTCTCGAGAAGCGAATCCACTCGACGTAACTGGCCGTTAAACATACATACATACGAAGTGCCCACATGATCAGTTTCACCCCATAAGAAGTACAATGTAACAACTAACCTCTAATTATGATCATGAAATACGCCTTATCAAATATTCGATCTGGTATTATGAGTAAAGATTTGGCTTCATATGAGGTTCACACAGCATCATATTGTGCACGATATTTCGTTTGCAGCTTAATTATTTCTATGCGATATCAAGCAGATATGCAGAACTGGCGAACGCGCTAAGTTCTGCTACGTAGTAGAGATACAAATCGAAAAAAATTACTACCGGCGCACGTTTACGGGACAACGTGCAGAGAGTCCACTATTGAAGCATGCAGACTCTTACTCTCGGCATTTTACGCGGAATTGTCGTTCTATTATATTATGGATTTAGAGTAGCATTACGGATGTAGCGTGTCAGACATGCAGTGATCGTATACGATTGTGGACAAAGAAACGGCAAAACGTCTCGCTCATTTTGGCTCGTTCATGATGCCGCCTCGGCTATGCCACTACCAAACGGTGCATGCATGTTAGTTGCACGAGCATGCAACGCGTGCGTCTCGCACATCTGTCAGGCATCTATAAATCGAACCTACGACAAACGCGTGTAAGCGGATTTCGATGATGGCCACCTTTGCAGGTGCTTCGTTGCAAGGTTCGACCGGACGCCGGCTACAATGGCGAACTCCCGCTACATTTTAGCCGATTTTATACACTGACCAATAGGAAGTGATAAATTAACACTGAAATATCATTATTGGTTATTTGTTATCGATAATTAGGTATAGATGGGTAGCTGGGGAACTGGGGGTAATAGATAAAGGGTTGGTATTGCATCGTCGGCTCAGGGTTGTTTGTTGACCAGCAATTGATGTCAAGAGTCCTGTTTTTCAGAGTTTTTCGAACACGGCGAGACCGTGGCAGTACCAAATCTTGGATTGTCTAGACTGAGTCGATAACAAGACGACTGATTTCAAATAGGGCACTTTGCACTATTTAATCGAAAATGTAAATAGGAAATGGCAAATCTCTCTATCGAATAGTAGTGTATTCTATTTTCACTGACCTAAGTGAACATTGAAGATAGATTGGATTGCATGCTGAAGCTTGTTGCTGAGAGCTATAGCGACTTCCTGGATGATCGCATCTCGCACTGTGTTTTTCTTCACTCCGAAAAACGTCACTCCAGATATCCATCAAGGCACGAGACATTCACAGCGTGCAGTTTAGCTATGTGTGTATCATAGGAGTTAAACACCGGGATTCATTCGATTGACAAGGTGCCACAAATCGACGTAGTACATCTTCATTCATACTACTGCTCCCTACAGTGATATTGCTTTTCTGCGATCCGCAGCCGGCTGTATTTTCCACCCGAGCATATATATACTGAGCACAGGCGGTCTGATAGAGAATCAGCTAATATGCAACGTAATAGTCTGCCGATTAATGAAAAAATCGCATAGTACATAAACATCCTCGTCTGCTCGCTATACACAGGCGGTAGGCTGTGCACACTGTGCATGGTCGAGTTATTGCAAAAGTATAAATCATGCATTACTAGCAGTTATAGAATTCGAACAGGGTAGTCGTCGCCTCTCTAGAACCGTTCTGCTCGTATATCGTGGTGTTCTAGTAGTATCTATAGCGTTTGTTGATTATATTCTAGTCAGAAAATGGTGGGTGTAAATTGCACACGACTGGGCCTAGATATCCTCCGATATCTATACTCAACTAGGTAAAACCATTGATACCCCCCTAATACGTATAATTATCATTCGCTTGTTCCAATGGACATCCTCTCTCTGTTGCTGCTAAACGTTACGCTCTCCTACCGGCTATATACGTTTGGCGATGACCTTAACTGGGCATGAAAGTTAGAGATTTACATTGTCTTTTTGGTTTCCTTCAAAATCGTCGGCTGCGATCGAAAAGTGTAAAAGTTTCAAAAGGCAAAGACAGAGCGAGTAGAAACGATTCCCTTGGGATTTCTGCGTTTTGCCCTTGGCGCCCAACTGTCCGATGTGGCGTCTCGTATTTTTAATTCGATCACTTGTTTGATTTGCCCTTTGTTTGTCTTCGTTGATGCTTGTTTATTGCTGTCGACTACGAATGAACGGGGCGTACCTGCTGCGAAATGAGAAATTCTGCTATTATCGCCAGTTATTCGAATGGCCTTATCGGTATTATCGTCATTGTTAGTAGTACCAAAGTACTGCTTCGTGTAGACACGCGGGGGGGCGAAGGTGCTGAGCTGAGACAGCTACCGAAATCCTAAATTGCTGCAATAGTTTCAGTAGTTACCCCAATAAGTTGCTAGCCTCTTGGGGTTAATTTAGCGTATTACGGTAGGGAGCATAAATGGAAAGGCTTAAGAGATTATTTAGCAGATGAGAATGCGCATCAATGTCAATTATTGTGGTCAGTATCAATCGTTTCGTATTCTGTCACTGTAATTCATGTAGGAATTATAGTAATAGTATGCTTAATAACGATATTGGTAATGGTACAAATCAGCAGTACTCTAATCATGATCATAGTATGTATGGATATATGTAATCACTTATTTACACGATTTGTACAAACGGGACTAGTGGTGCAGTCAACGCCAAAAACAACAGATTCGCGCACTTCTTTATTTCTATAACGAATCGCTGCGTAAGTCCGATGTTTCCCTCTCTTGTGTGGCGCCCCCCAGTGATAGCAGCCCCCTGGGAAGCTTTTTTTTTATCATATTGTCAGAACCACTTCGTGCTATGCAAGGCTAATGATATAAGACATTTAGGGAGACTGACCTACGGTGTCTCAATGGAGTGGCTTAAGCTTGAAGAAATACAACTCAACAACTATTGGACCTTGGTTAACACCGGCGCATAGGCTCTTATGTACATTATACAGGTATGTGGTATATACCTGCTTGTATTTGCTTTTACGTTCTGTTACCACGTGTTCCTCAGGTTTTACGTGTTGGTCCTTCTCGGATGATATAAGTGGATTCACACAAAACGTGTAATAAGTCAGTACTCGAACGATGTCAGTATATAAACTAAGTGGGATTAACGCTTGTTTTGGATAGGCAATAGCTTAATAAATGTAGATTCTTGAACGAGCTCTCTTCCCAGCCTTAACGCGTTTAGCACGTTAGTGGTTAACGAGCTAGGCACAGCGGTGATCAACGTGTCTAGAGAGTGGGTTACATGCCAGTACACTAAAAAACACGTTTTACATGACATGAATTACAGAGTTTCCTGTGAGTCAGCGGATGCATCCCAGCCTCTCGGCTAGACGAAATTAACATCGAATCTGATAAGTTGGTGATAAATAGTCATCAAAATAATAGGATAGTGGCTAATAGGACAGTAGTACCTGCGCGTTGGTAAAGTAGAAACGCGATAACAAGCATTTCGCGTGAAACCGCTAAGATGATTAGGTAGGCCACTGTGGCATTGCTTTATGTTTCTGTTTCTATGGCCTTGTCCTAAGATTTAAGTCTTCGTTTCCCAGTTGACATCAGTAAAACACATATCGCACAGGCACCTAATTGAAGGACGCCAACGGGGTGCCATCCGCTCGTTTTCAATATGATCTCTCCGGAGCGTCTGCTGGTGGCGTACCACACAGAGGCACCTTTCATGCAGCACTGTTTGTTTTTACTCTGTCTTGACACTTTCGTCGATCCGCATCTTCTTACCGAGGACGGAGTCATCATCGTCGTCCGAGTCTTCGTCACTATAACTCTCCGAATGAAGTGGCGCCATCGGTCCACCTCCACTTCGATGGTCGACCGAAGCCTGAAGTTCCTTCAGTAGGCTGCCTAGGTTGGCAGGGGTTTCGCCCTAAAAACAACAGTAAGGAACACACGATTCGAATATGAAACGATTAAGAACCTATAGTAGAAACGGCATTTTCGAAAATGAAATAAAAATAGCGAAATAACAAAAAAAAACTGAAAGCAATCAGGGGTTACCTCTTCAGATCAAGTCAACGATACATAACTACCACACTATTTATGTGGATAAGGAAAGTTATCTACAACTTGCCAAAGCAGAGGAATTATTATTATCCTATTGTTATTGTCTTCGCATTATACCTTATAGAAGCGTAAGGAAAGCGTGGAGGAAACGATATCCATGACTACTACGTTAAATCTAATACGAACCGTTTTAGCAGTCTGTTGAAAAAGCCCTGCGATAAGTGTCATCAGACGAACTTCATGGTGCATTTCTTCGCGTCGAAGTCTCTCCTGTCGCTCGAGGTCCTCCTTTCGCATTCGCTCAATCATTTCAAGTTCCATTGTCATTCGGCGCTCTTCCAACTCCATGAACTTACTCACTCCACGATTGATTGAGTCCATGATGTTCTGCGCTAAAGCTGTAACAACTGAAAATAACATAAGAGCGAAATTGAATTTAACCTCTTATTAGCACGGACATGTTTTAGAGACAAAATGTAACTGGAAGTGTCTGAATGATTCTCTAGCCTGGCTCATTCAGTTTATATATATAAAGACTCTAAAATGCACCTCATCGACGAATTTCGTGAATGGTGGCAAAAAATGCTTTCATTTTTTTTTTCCTAGTTTAATGCTTTTCCATTAATTGTAGGTCTTCCCATACTTTTTACCAATATTTAGGCTAGACTATATTTATTATAATATATTCTCAGAATAGAGTTCTTGCTGTCGCTGTGTTTGATAGCTTTTGCTATCATAACCAAACAAATAACAAAATACTTTTTTGTTTTTTACTTGCTGCAAATGTCTTTTTTTTTTTTTTTTCTATAAGAACCGTTTTTATTTGCTGGGTTTTGCGCGTGACCGATTTCACTGTATCATGAGGACGTCTTGAACATGCTTATATATTGTTTACTCTCTTTTTCCGCAAATCTCACCCTCCCCTGCTGGTTAAGTACTCTCTGCGTAATTCACTTGCTTTACCGACAAGTACCCACCGGTGTCGCTGGCTGCCCGGGATTCACCGACGGTGCTTGTATTGTTATTATTATTAACGCAGGTGTTGTTATTACTGATGATGTTGTTGTTCAAGCTGGAAGTGAATTTCCTTTTGAGGCCTTGTGGCTGCAGTGTGGCCAAGGGCGCCGTAAGGGGCAATGTGGCTGCCCCGATGCCGACGTTCCGTGTGAGGTTTGTCATGGTATCGTCTGCACTGATGATCGGCGGAAGCTGTGCGACGGCCTGCGCTTGCGTCTGCTGTAGCTGCTGTTTTTGGAATTCCGCTTGACTGCTAAGCAGGCTCAGTGCGGCCGCCGTACGATAGATCTCCGAACTCAGTGTCGTACAATTGCGATCGGCTTCGGAGCCGCTGTTGTTGTTCAGCTCGAGCACTGCGCCCAAAAAAGACAATAAGAAAAACAAACGAAAGGCAAGGAACATTTAGTAACAACGTAAATACTAGTAAGACAGCATATGTGACGAGAAAATGTTCTTTATATATCGATGTTTTTATATGTCGAGTACATGTATGGTTTTGCTAGTCATGAATGCCGTTCTCAAATGCATATATGACAACACTATCTATCTAACAAAAAGTCCTACATTAACGGGTAATTTCGAATCGACTGATATTTACGGGCAGTCGTTTCCGCGCATATTTTAGCTCTGTATTAGACGCTTTGGAACTAACCGAACTTGAATACTAATCAAACGGTATCGTATATGTATATTTTTCAAATGGCCAAGTAGCCACCATGACTTTCAAAAGCACCTTTATACCTGTAACAGTATTATGTTTTTTGCTACTGTGATATTAACAACGTTGAACCTCATAGTTTTTCGTCATGACGGTCGTCTGTCACCTTTAGACGAACGATCTACTACCAACTGCGCCTATCCTTCTCGGCTTGTCCTGTTATTGTTATTATCAGTTAATAAAACTATCTCTTTGTTGTTATTCCACGAATACGTCCTACTTGATACACAATGATGCAGGGACAGAACCTCTGGGTGACCACTATTCGCCAGCCTCGGTTCCACGTTAGTGTAAAAAATGTCAAAAGAGCAAAACAAGCAGCAGACTATATAAAGGGCGCAGTCCTTAAATTAACGACTAGGTTAATTTTTTGCTTAACAGTTGCTTGCTCTGCTGATAGGAAAACAGGATCCAACAATTGCGCAATTCGTTTCCGTGTAGGTTCCTTGTAAAATTTCGACAGTCTTCCACTATGGCGTCTTCTGACTCGCTCTGCCATCCTGAAAGCCACCAGTCATATACGATTCAACAACCAACAACCTCTGCAGTAATTTGGAAGATGGTGTCAACCAACCGAGCTCTCAAACTCTAGAACAAGATGGCGCTGACTGCCCATCGCGAATTAGAAATTATCCACAATAGGAGGTTCTGTAGGAGGTGCGGGACTCGAAAAAGGAACGCCACTTAGGGAAGGCTGCAGCCTGGCTTCCTAACAAGTAGCAGCAGGCAAGAAAGCCGTTGAAAAACGAACGCGGATCAAGGCGCCATTGGATTTAGTGTTATTTGCCACTATTGCTGTGCGAAAACCCTACGTAGGCGAACGAGCGAAGAAAAGATAAAGTCCTCCTTCCTTCCTTCCTTCCGTATGAGTATCTCCTGCTTAAAAACAGTGTTTTCGTTTTAGGCAAGAAAGGACCGACGTGAGAACGTCGGGAAAGACAAGCTGCAAAGTATATAGAACGAATAGCAGCTTATGCCGCCCACATTTTCAGAAGTCGCAGCTACTTAGAAAAATGCTCCCAAGTCTAGCTGGTTGGTAGGAAGAGGCATACGGACTATTCTGGGATGACGCAAACATAGAAAGAAACTATCTAAAAGTACCAGAGCTCTGAGACGCGAGCTTCGATATGCCAGCCACTCGAATGATCGTTACTGCCAAGCGTCAAAGTTAGAAAAGTTGGAAGAAGTGCACTTTGTCGAGGAAATGGCGTCCGAATGTCTAGTTATTCCGTTCTATTCTATTAAAGAGTGCGTATAGTTGTTTCGTGATGTCAATAACGGTATGGGAAATCTATGACAGGACGCCTCGGTGATTCGGCACCTCTGACGGTGAAGCTCGTGTTTGAGTTTATTCAAAACTGCGGAATAAGAGTGTGACAAATGCGATCGGGTTTATCGACTGTGCCGTTGCTTGTGCTGCGTATTGGCGGTAACTGATCTTGAATTTTGCATTTTCAAGAGCTTAGAAAGAATGTTTTTGATTTGACGCCATGTTCGAACACTTTTTTACCGGTCTTATCGACAGTTATTGAATTCTATTCACCTGTTCAACCTGTCGCTAATTCATTTAGATAGGAAACGATTCTGGAAGATAATAATTCGATAATGCAGCGAGTGAAATATCTGAATTTTATTTCGTTCACAGCTGCCGTTCTCCTGATTTGCCCCCTATTTCATTAAATACATTCTAGACAAACTATTATTAACTCAGTATGCTAGATAACTGCAGCTGCAAAAGACAGCCGAAGGCACCAGCTAGCTGACCTATTGAGGCGTACTTGTAAGCTACCAGACAAAGACAGTGCTTGTATGGAGATTCACTTTTCCCCAGTTTGAAGAACTGTATATGTAAACGTTGACTTCAAATTGAAACCGAAGTCTCTATATCGGTATCCTTATTACTGCCTAAACGGGAACCGTGGCAAAAAAAAATAGCGCTCATTTTCTAACCTGGATAAACAACCTGGATGAGTAAACAACCTGGTTAGAAGGTACGCTGAGCAGCTCCCGAATATGCAGCTTCATTCCACATCGTCCCGGACCGCCTTTCTTGTCCTAGTTTGAGACAGATCGGTGGGACTAAGCACACCTTATTTTGAAGACGGCGACACATTTTTTGTTCGCTACCTTTCTTTGGGTTTTACGGACACCAAACTCTCGTCTCAATTATGTTTTAAGTAGATCTGTCAAAGAAGTAAAGCTGTCGTCTCATTCTGCATTCTCTTCCAATGGCCGCCGATGATGATTCCATAAATTTTTGTAATGTTGATGACTCAGAATTTTTAACCTCAGTAAGAACGATGGATAAAATGAAAGAAGTGTGCCATAGGTCGTTTGTCATTGGCTCGCTGTATAGACAATGCAGGACCGCACAGCCATAGGTTGTCCAAGTGACTTAAGCCAGAGGGATTACGTAGCGTTAAAGGCCTATATGTACAAAAGGCTGTTTTAGTTTCGCTTGTATAAATGTTAGCTTAAATGTTGTTTGTTTGCTGTCATCTCGTACAGCTCGTGGAGTTTGCAAATAGCAATGAATGAAGAGTTATCACTCTACAGTGAAGGGGCGACAATTTGGCGCCAATGTTTAGTATGACAAACCTTCAGATCGATTGAAATGCTTCGAAACCTTGGTGTCATCGAATCTCACAGTGAAAAACAAAGACGCCGCTTATTCTGTCACCGTTGCCAGATCAGATCACTGACCTAGTCTAGCTCGAGTCTTTAGTGATGCGCGGGAAAATAGACCTAACCGAATTATTATTCTGTGTCGTCGGTACAACAAAAGCCCAGAATAGGCCAAATTCATCCGTCTGTACCTGTACTCAAAAGCATCCGTTCCCTTAAAACACAATAGCGAATCAAACCGGATTCTCATAGCTTATTGTATATCGTTAGATTCAAACTATCCAGATTTAGACGAAGGTTTGTTTTCTATGTCAGCGTTATTAGTACCTCTAAGAGCCATCCACAATACCAAAACAGCCAGGACTAAGGCATTCGCTAGGTTAGTAGACACCTGTTCACTGTCTGAACGCTCGGCCAGCACCGCGTCCCAGTTCATCGTGGGCGCGATCTGGGCACTGCTCGAGCAGATCACGCATGGTGCATGTAAGCCCAATTTTCTAAGATGGGTACCTATTGATGGACCCCGGCCGTATCATTGCCTCACACAGTAGTCCGTGCTCGAGGTAATCAGGCGCGCGCGCACCTCGTCATGGACTCATAACAGAAATGACAAAAGGAGATCATTTACGCAACGACTTCCTGGCGCACGGCGGTGTTCAAACGATAAGTAAAAACGTATACGTTTCATATCGAGGTACTAGGTGGAGGGCATGCTTAATGCTGCATATCCTTCAATTTATAGCTTAAACTCGCTCAGGCGTTAAAGACTCGCCTAGGTAGCCGACCTCAGCAGTTTTTGTTGGTTTATGAAAAAATTTTGACGAGGTATTGAAAGAAATCTAGAAATAGAATAAAGGCAAAGAAATAAAGGTCAACCGGACATTTCAGCCGATAGAAAATGTACAGATCGTTGCTCTTTACTATTGATACCTTTTCTGTCCAAACACTAGACCGAAAAACACCGGTCAAATCGCCATAATATATTCGTATAAAGTTCATACAAGGATATCTATTCTGTAGGTATCCAGTTTGTGCTAAGCTCACGCGGAAAAACCTATATAAATGTATAATTACTCTCTCCAAATGAGCCTAATAAAAACTAGATATATACGACAAAGACATTCTGTAGAAAAAGACCTTAGTGTAATTATAATATCCATTTCGCTGCTAGATAAAAAAAATGCATTCACATTCACAAATAACAATAACAGTATGGACAAAGTTGTACACTTAAGCTACAGTGGTAGATTTTTCTTGTCCGAAACCAAAGTAATGATATTGCTTTATACTAGATAGTAGCGGCCTAGAAGAAAACGTACCAAGCCTCTTGTGTCCTCTCTCCCTCTTTTCTTGAGCTATCTATATAGAGCAGCTGAATAGATTGTGTCTTCGAAATGGGTTTGCATCCTGTCCGATACATTTGGGTTTGATACAATAGAAAGAATGTCTCTACAAGAGCTTTAAATGATATCCCAGAGGAACCTCAATAATCTTAATAATATGTAAAACGCTGGGCTCGAACGGTTTACAGGTTTGAAGGGTAAGTGACCTTCACATATCATGTTTCAGGCAAAGGAGAAATGCTGCCTTCGAGTCCCGCATGTTAGGTTTCCTTCGGAAGCTGTACGAGCTAAACGAAGAGATAACAAGATAGAAACGATTAGAGATTCTGATTCAGAGCCTCTACTGCTTTGACGTTCGGTAGCAATGTGATTCGCGGAAAACGACAGATTAGTATCATACGCGGGCAAATTTAAATATCACATACGTAACATATAGAAAGTATGACATATTCGTAAGATCGCACGGTGATTGGTTGATAGAAATGCTATACAATACAATGCACGGAACGCATTTCATGGTAAATGTGCAAGTAACAGGTAAACTGCAAGGACTTTGTTTTGTTGAGTGTTTTTTGGGTGTTCCCACACAAAAGAAGGTTCCTTGTTACGCTAGAGGCAATGTGCGATACACTGTTTTACAGCATCGTAGTTAATAACTCTCGAACGACGAGGTCGAGCAGGCTAACAACGACAACAAACCTACGAACGTGAGCTTGATAATGTGGCAGAGTTACGTCCCGGGAGGAAGTCGATCAGATCAACGAATACGACTGGGATCCAGTATCTGAGATACAACAACAGGCTTAGCGGCTTTCCAGCATTCAACACTACATTATATGACTCAATGGTGGTTTAACCATCACACAGACCTAATTCTCTACCATATTATAGAATCAACAAAAAATGAAGCGGAACTTCAACGTTCAACGCCAAAAGAAACATGTCAGATCAAGTCAGACACGTAGTTATATATATACTCGTACCATACAAGTTGAAGAACCACAACAGTCAATTGGACCAGTGACGCTGATTGAAATATCGTCGAGTTGCTACCTCAGCCACTCAGCGATTTTGGCTGGAGCCAAGAACGCATTCAGCTTTTACTGCTTTTGTTTAACCGTTGACATTGTTTATCCCCGAGCGTTAGAGTAGGCCCAGGGACATACGAAAGCAACCGGACTACTCGCGTCAGCGGTTATTTGTTGATGGCAGTCCTTCGTAGCATCCGTTATCTAGATACTCTAGCGACTCCAAAAAGCGCCGAATACCCGCAGCCAGTATCAAATGTCGCGGCTATACCAGGAAACTAATTGGCTGACAGCAGGCAAAATAGAAAGGAAACTACTTTTTGCAATATAGAACATATAATCTAACAAAAAAAACCTGTGCTTTTGCGAAACCCTAGGCGTATCTATTACTCTCGTGTCGCCATCTTGAAACACACGTTTTACGTTCTTCATATCTTTCGTCTTCCCCAGAAAATGCGAAGCAGGCCAGGACCCGAGCAAAAAACGTGGGCAAAGGATGCGAAACAACAGTAGACGAAGGGACATTAAAATAAGTAGTCGGTAATGCTAACGTGATACCTAATGCTGCACTTTATCGAAGTGTCTATTCATCTTCGTTAAGCAGTGCGACATTCGATGTCAATTACTGGTGGGTCTGGAAGGAAATACAAAAAATGAAAGAAACATTGTTGCGGGACATTACCGGTTCGATCCACACACAAATACGTAGACGCTAATACAAGCACACAGACACACTGCCCAAAAACCATTCTGTACATTAACAGTATTGTCTTATCGTCATCAGTCTCATGCATGCGATTATATTTTCAGTTGTCTTCCTGCGTAGGAGTGATGATGCGTTCCACATGCCGTCCTACTACCACACAGCCCGTCAGAGCCAGCAATCGTTGGTTGTTCGTAGATCGTGGCTTGTTTCTTAGGTCGACTTGGGTGCTGGTTGGTCTGCTAGTAGACAAACGGCCGGATACATCGCTTTTCAACGGAGTGTGAAAGCAGCGGTCGAGGCCTGAATCCACCCAGGCCCGAATGCGAAATGCTCATAGTGGCCTGCCAAGCGAATGTAGCATGCTAGCTGTACTAGTGCTGTTGCTAGAAGTTGCACTGTAGATTATTTTCCTCCTTGTAACTTACTGTTTTAAATATCCACCGACGACCGTTGCTGGTTTATGGACAAAACTGTAGCTAGCTTACAATTCGCTATCCGTTGACATTCTGCTGGGCCGAGATTCGGGTCTCGACAGCTAACGCGAGCTCGACGATGCTGGCTTGGGTCGAAACAGAAGCAAAGCTGCCGTTTGATGCGAGTAGGCGGACAAGGCAGAGCGGTTTGAAGGTAGCGGGACTTTGAATAATGAAAATGAGACCAGTGGATATCAGAGATTGACTGCACACACAGGCGGTAATGCAGGCAGCGACAAGCGAAAAATCACTCGCGGTCGTCAGTGACCCTAGACCCGTTCCGATCGATATAATTGACAAAGGAACGATCGCAGTATCGCAAAACAAAGCAAAGAAATAAGCCTAGTTTCCAGTGGAACAGGCGTTGTCGCTCTCGACCACAAGTGACATTTTCGTTCACCCGTTAAGAGCAGCAGCTACATAGCAATTCTCAACGAGAAAGCGTATGAGATTCTATCGATAAAAGCCTCGTATATCAAACCAACGGCGATGGCGACACTACAGCGATGTCATTTGTTATCAACCCCACCTCGTTCGTGACCATCTTCCGGATCTCGATGACGTGCTCGCGTTCTCGTATCCCTTACGGCTTTTAGACGGAGCTAAAAAACGCACCGTGCTAAAGCGTCAGAAATCTCTAGAAACTATTGCGTCATATGCAGACTCATTTAGATCATTGTGCTAAAGGCCGAACGCCCACTTGTTCACGGACGGATCTCATGGAACCTGCGTAGATCGCAGAGTCAGTGGGTTGGCCTGCTACGTTCCCCAAAGCAATCGGTCGATTCGTGGATATTTTAACAACTGATAAAATGAAACTTGAACGGGCCAATTGATACGTGCCATGCTAGATTGTGTTTATATTATACTGAGTACTCGATTAAATTTAAGCTACGGCGAAGCATAGAAGAGCCTCGAGTAGGAAAATAAGTACGACATAATAAGTTTTATTGTATCTGTCAGATTTATTTATAGATAAGGTAATAGATTTTATTGTCTTCGTTTGCAAAATAACTAGATAATGCGTTATTAGCTTCCCAACGAGTTCCGCAAAGAATAATGGTAATGAAGATAGCAGCGACCCACTGTCATCCACACTTCGATGCTGCCAGGCACAGTAAGCCGTGTGAAGAACGTTATGAACACTTCGAGCATAAGACTTTCGAGGTAATAAATATGGAAACTCCAAAACAGCAATTGATCAAATAAACAGTGAGCCAATCAATCGGGCGGCGAATTTAGAAAGCGCTGAGCGCAAATTTCTGAACACGAACCGGGAGCCTAGGCTGGAGCGTGCACCCCCGGCCGCGCAAGCATCGAACCAGATGAACCCTCCTATGATTGCGAACCCCTCTACGCTACTGATTGTGGCCGAAAGTAAAACAAGGCAACTAGAAAAAACTTAATTATAGGTACCCCTTTATTTTACGTAGTTCCCTGCTTTTCGTCACGAAAAGTTCGTCACTGGACTCGTCCTATTCAAGGTCATTCTAGAGGATGCCGAAACGTAACATAAGAACGCATGGAACTGCTTGGTGCCTGTAGTTCGTCTTATGACATTTGAGAACAATAATCCCTATCGATACGTCGATGCGCCGAGAAAAGCACTGTGTGAAGACTGATGATTTGAGTCTTTCGCGTCAGCATCGCGGTGTCGAGCCATAACTACTATCACTAGGACATGTCGCTGCCATACGATGAAAATGAGAGGCTGCGAAACAAAAACGGTAGTCTGATACTTCCAGTAATAAGAAATCCGGCCACAACGTTTGCGAGGTTTTAGACTGAAGTACATACATGCGATTCTGAACCCAAATTTCGATCGACCCGGCGGTTAAACATAGTTAGTTCGTCCCATTCAGAAGTCACAGTGTTGTTGGCCTCGGTTGTGGTGGCTGGACGAAATTAGAAATCGTATCATTAGTGGAAACAATTTGGTGCCGGTGTTGAAAGAATATGCCGCAATGAGTTGACGCGTTCAGTGTACTATAAAGTCCTTTCTAATGTGTACAGCTACGCCGGCAAAGTTTCTATCCGGTAATTCCTATCCCGCCCAAGGAGCCACGATTCGATGAAGATACCGTCAATTTCTAGCTCACACCCAATCTCCTGTCTTCATCAAAAGCAGGATAGGGGCGTGTCTGTCATGAGAGTGTTTGTCAAAGCCATTGAACACGCTAATAATCTTGTCTAGCTACTGTTAAAATTTTATGTGTTTAAACAGCATAAAACATGTGACATGGCTTTTTAGTGTTTTAGCTATATGAAATCAGGCTCTGTGCGATCGTTTTAATATCCAGTATTTTTACTTATCGATCTTAATAGAAACCCTTGAGACTATACTCACATTTAATATCTGCAGTTGTCCCAGATTGGGCGCCGTTTCCAGCCGGCTCTCCTGCAAAAGCAATGCACAACGTTCAAAAACCGAAAATTCGTGGGCCATTCCGTGTATTTGAATCTTATCTAGAAAACCTACCTGCCTCAGTTCGTAACTAATTTGCTACTAACAATTATGCTTGCCTATCCGACCACTGGGTCCGTTTTAGATTTGGCTTTATATGATATACACCGCAAATCCATTGTACTGAGGTACATTTACTAGAGACTGATCTGACTCAAGCTGTCATACAAACGTTTCTACAACGTCAGTCCCAACCATGGACAGGGCTGTCTTTCCCTATCGAGGGAAAGACCAATCTAGCAACAATAATTATCATTTTTTGTTTGTGTGTTTCGCTGACAGTCTACTTAGTTATTCCTATTTGCGGATCTGCTCTCAACAGTATTTGCAGATACCAGTTTATATCGCTGACAAGAGGGACACTTATTCGAATTGGGCAGGTATACACTTTTCATCAAGGCTGTCGGCGTTTTTGGCCTTTTTGACTAATAGCCTTTTTATTTTTTGATCCGTCCGTCGCTTTCTGACCATGAAAACATCTCAAAGGGAAGTTCTATCAATTAAGCGCTCTACGCTTACGCTTACAAGGTTCTCAGTTGAGGGAGGAAAACCACAGTGGGGAAGAAAATCAAATACTGGTATCACTGAACAATGCCCTGGAACTTACGTCCTATTGCATGGAAACAGTCGGCCATTCACAACTGAAAATCGTTCTCCTTCATTCTCGAGCCCACACAAGAACATTTCCTTCCAAAAGTTCCCCGTCAACACAACCTGCGATTTGAAATCAGATTCGAAGCGTTCCCATGACAAAGTTTCCTCGTATCATCATACCGACATCTCTTTATTTGTTGTTGGTCCACATCGAATACATACATCCGGCCCAATAACTAGACCCATGTTGGTTAGGTGAGGCCGGTTACGTATGAACGCCTTGGTGAGCGCTGCTTCGCCGATCGATTCCGTGGAGCTGGTTGTTTCTCTGAACATCTAGATCAGTTTCGAATCTGAACGATAACCGTAGGTCGAGTAGACAAGAACCGAAGGTGAATGAAAACAGCAGCAGGCCATGCGGCAACAATCAAAACAGCAGCAGCAATGCTAAATCGAGACGAAAAGATCACCTGTTTAAACAGAACTGTCAAACACAGGGACAAAGCGTTATCATGAACTCAGCTAGCGGAACTTGTGTCGCTCCCAGTTCTTGCCTAACATTTCCCCTAATATTACCTGACAACACGAGAATAATCTGCCCATGTTAAACTGGCAGAAATTACTGACCATTTCATACACGGAAGAATTGGCCGGGGTGAACGCACCGACTATGGAAAAGTTTAACTTAGTTGTCTACAAAACTTAGACGATCTTCTCCAGTAAGGGTCCATAGCTCTATAGCACCTAGTTTGGACAAAATTATTTTTCATGTAACAACTAACCCCTACTTTATGGTAGCCATAGTAACTACTACCTAGATGTGTATTCTAAATAAATTAATTGTTCAATAGCCGACTAAGATCGATGCATAAACAAGAAAAAATTGTCTTAATTGCTTGTGATAGAAAGGTGTTTGCCATGTATTTTTTTGATAGCATAAAAAAAATGTATAAATACGATGTACTATACGTGAGTTGTTTGTCTGCAAAATGTTTTACCCTTTGGTACATATGTGCGTTTTGTTGCAATTTCTGTTATACCTTATGGGCATTCGTAAAGATAGGCGTCTAATATGTGTCTTTCTATCTCCATCAGTGAGTACAAAGAACGGGTGCTCATCGACGTCCGAGTAACTTTTCCATTTATCGTCTACCTCAGCCTAACGTGTGTTCTACTAAAACGAACCTGTTTCTACAATGTCCGTCTACAATTCACTGAAATCGATATGTCCAAATAGCGATAAAGCATAGCCACACGCTGAGGTAACGATACAGGTAGTTTACGAGCCACTGAACGTCGTGGCCCAGTTTCGCAATAAGATACCTGTAAACGTTTTGCTCGCCACTCAGAAATGCTACTTTCCTTGATTGCACGACCTGCTCATGCTGCCGTTACCCGTCAGCAACTTGTAATCCGCGATTTCATTTTACTGTCAACCCCTTTTAGATAGATAAATACTTTGAGAGGTGGTATCTGGTCGTTAGACCTGCCGACTCTTCGCAATGTTGAAGCCAATTCCTAGGACACCACCGATCCATAATGAACTTGTCATATCGGCAGTCTGGGTTTATCATAAAAGCTTGTCTGGCTCACCTGCATGCTTTGCCGACTTTCCCTTCAATGGTCCACCCGGAACCCTAGTTTTGCCACATCTGGCACTATATTGTGGGTTTCGATTTAATACCGCACTAAATCGAATCCCCTTTATGCGCTAGCCACTGGCCTATTTTGGGTAAGGTACTGATAGTACGTACAAAGTTAGATGCAAATCGGCAGGCAAATACAACTTCTGTAGCGTTTCAACAAGTCGCAACGCTTGTCTTTACGATATAGCGAATAGTTTTTTTTCCTGATTTTTTAACGAATGAACGAATCAACTGAATTTTCTTTTCCAAAATTTTTTCAACTAGCTGATCAAAACATAAGGTTTGTATTGACTCACACATAAACCATTTTTGGGGTAGCTCGCCTAACTTGCCTTAATCATCTGATTTACTGTGACATCTTTCAATGTCCTATTCCCTCTTCGACTGTGTGCGGTTCGCATCACTCTATACTTTTTACCCTAGTATTTAGTGTACTAGGCAGCGCTTATAATGCTCCTCTTAAGCTTCAGAACGCCGTCATAGAAGTGTGGACAAAAAACGACCGTACACTGCACGGCAAATACCTTTGTTTTGTTTCTTGTTGGCTTCTGTTGCAGTAATAAGCAAAAACCAGTAGTATTCATCGCTCGCCTTACTCTTTATCCGAAAGGCCAAAGCTTAACGGCCAACGTAGAAGGGAGCGGGCACGGAGCGGACAATCAGGAAGACAGGCTCCTTTGGCTGTCACTGTGTTGTCTGCACGATTCGCGTGTGTGTTGATGGGATGTGTGTGCACGAATATCGTTCGTTCACGTTATTAGTCCCCAAACTCAACGTCAACTTTACTCCCAATTCGGGCTTCTATTGTTGTGCAGAGACACTGCACTGGGAGCCACGTTGTGGTCCTCGCCCAATACCCTAGAATAAGCTGGAGTAGGCGCATTATGCCGACAAATGTAAAGAAACGAAGCGTTGGTCATGGGAATGACCAGTCTGCTGGGACCAAGCACGACTAGCCCTGATTCACTCCTGGGACCCCTACAAAAGTCAGGCTACCCAGGTACCGGCCAATTAGTTTTCGTTGTTAACAGAGGCGAGCCCTACAGTATTCCCCACCTATGGGCTAGAAAAGGGGAGCGCTGCTGTCAGTGTTTCTATGCTACCTGCCTGCGCCCAGTCGCTCTCGATGCTCCGTCATGCGCTCCGACGTATGCGGTGTGGTGTCAGTGTTCAGTGAAGTCATCAAGCGGACGTCATAGCTTTACTCTTCGGAGCGTAATGTATGCCTGGTTGCGGCAGTGGCTCGAAGGACGAAAAGCCAGCAATGAGCTCAGCACTGCGGACCGGGGACCCAGAGGCCCGTGGCTGGTCGCTTCTTGGTCGCTGTACTTAATGCGCAACAGCAGGTTAACTCAGCTGAACCCCCAGCCCTTCCCCAAACTATCTTCCCCTGAAACAGGTCCAGGGGAAGCCGCATTGTGTGAAACAGGCAAATGCAACAACACGTGTTAACGGTGTCGGCAGGTTGCTCTATGAAAAGTTGCTAGTAACATCTAGGACTGAAGACAATGTAGAAAAGCCCACGGTATAAGCAGTAAGAATAAGGTACTGGTAGACTAGAAAAGTTGCACCGACTGTGAGCGAAAACAAGGAAAAATATTCTGTGGAAGAATACGCCAACGTCACAATATGGTACATCTTATAACAGCATTTATGGCGAACGCAAATGACTTCAAATTGTCATTCTAACATAGACCAACTGGTGAAAATCCACATTGTCTTACTTTTAACCTCAGAATGAGCCATATCCAGTGCGCCTATTGTTGTCTAATATTGTTATCTGTAAGTGGCGTTCTTCTAAACCAACGAACCCAGCCCCACAAAACAGATAGACACTGTTATACAGGGTTGGGAGTATGATTATCAAACAAATTTAGAAACTACAATACAGCTCACTGATGGACGAGAATATTTAGGCACAAATGAATTAGCCATCTAAAATTTACACACGCATAAACCTGCAGCTCTGCACAGAATACGTAGATATTTATGTACATGTGCACACTAGATGTAACGACAATCTGGTGTGCGAGCCAATGTTATTCCGTAGATAAAGCGTAACCTGGGTCTAGAGCCCTTTAAGCCTATTCAGGCTACGGGCCCAACTACCGATAGCGAGTTGGCAACTCGAATACGGCCGGAAGCGCGATCGTCAGAGCCAGTATGTGCATGGGAAGCAACTTCTGTCTCATTGGATGAGTACATCCAAATCCAAAACTACCTTAACGCTCGAACACTGAAGAACGTGTCAACACAGAATGAAGTGTGGGGTATGAGAATATCAGATTTGAAGGAGTTCAAAGGATTCGCTTGGATTCGTACTTAGTGTAGAATCTACAGTGCGCTTGACAATTATAATTGGCAGGTCACAAAGCACCGACCGGAAACTGTGGGTCGTTAACGAGACGAGGTGATTTCCTACCCGTTGGTGTGAACTGTTGCGGGGAACGGGAAACTTGTAGCGCGATCGGTCGTCCGACTAGCCACTGTCCCTCTATATTGTTGGGATCGTCCACTCTTTCATATCGAAACGTAGTGAAAAAAAGAGCAGGTGCTCTCTTCTCGTTGTTGTTGGTCGATGACTGAATTTGAATCGCGTCGATGATTAGGATCGTTGTGGACCAAAGCTGCTGTAACCTCTGTGCCTGGACTGCGCGCGGCCTAAACCTATTGAATTACAGGGGGGCGCAATTG